TTCTGTATTCTGTAATGGAATACATTTTAAAAGTAACCTTCCCAACACTGACAATGACACCTTGTGTGTGGCAATAACAATCCGAACACTGCAGGCTGCTACAACTGGTCAAAAGCTCAGCACTGAAATCAAGTGTTGAAAGGATGCTAACCTGTTGAGGCCTTGGCAGGCAGCACCCAGAGTGCGTTTGAGGTGGCATAGTGTTGTTGCCCCTTTATGCACATTCTCAATGTCAAGAGGAAGCTCACTGAAGAGGTAGTCATTCAACAGGCCAATCACATCACCCGCAGTACTATTAAATAAACAAGGAAAAAAATCAGATTATATTGTATAAAGCATGAAAGCCATTTCTTTTTTGTACTGAATATGAGAGAAACAGAGTAGGCTAAGAGCAGAGGTTTAACACAGAGCAGACAGTATATCAGCACAGTTTATTAATAGGGCAAAAAAGTCAAAAGAGGGAAGTGCTTCACAAATAGTTGCTATGCTTGATCGCCAACAGGTGCACGAGCTAATAAAAGAGTTGATTAGATGCAATCATATTAACGTGAAAATAGAAATTAATACGCAGCATAAGTTTGTAAGAAACCACATTCATGCATGTGACTTTATGTGATGCAGTAATATCAAATATGGACACTTCTTATTAAAAAAAGGTATATATTAATTTTTATTAATAATTTATAACATAAACCGTGCAAGGAATATCTCTGAAATAGGTGTATTTTTGGCAATGGAATTATTTAATAAATATACCTGGATGTGTTTAGATCTTGCAACTTATCGAGAAACAGGGCATGAGGGGCTGCTTTTGCTGGGGAGCCTATGAAAGGTACCGTGCCGACAGACGCTGGAGCAGAAGTTGGCTTCTCATCATCTGTGCATACGCGAAACACAACATTTGAACATTACAGCGCAGAGTGAAGGATCTACACATCGCTATTAAAGCCACATGTTTTATTATGTGTACAACATGCAGGTTAATAAAGGGTACAGACAAAACAGAGTTATCATGACATCCAACCTGAGCTCTCGTCACCACTCTCCGTATCGCGGGGTACAGGATACAGCAGAGGAGTGACCAGGCCTTTGTGGGGTTGCTGGTACCCCAACACCAAGTCCTCCAGTGTCCGGAAACAATTCACCTGCACCCCTTGTGTTGTCTATAAAACACACAAATGCAACAGCAGATGATTCATTTTATGTCTGGTTTAAAATGTCTTGACCTAGCATAAATTCTCATTCTACACAGGAAGAAAACCAAAAAAAGGAATGCAGAAGGTAAGGGATGCAATAATTCTGTTTAAATCTGTTGAGTAGTTTGAATTAAAAAGAGTATTTCACTTTTAAAAGGTTGTGCATAGAAGTACAGATATTACTGCATAGCTTCAACGTATATGTAAAAGAATGTGCTGCTGTATGAAGACCTTATTTGGATCCACAAACACTGAAATGAGAAGTTCTTAAACTTGTTAAGAATCAACGATGAGATTTGAAGATTGTTAAGAGAAAATCTTCCCCGACTGTGTTATAAAAGAATTAAATTACTAAGTAGATTTTAATTTGT